CCCTAAACCCTAAACCTGAGGCTTTCTGCGATATCGCGGGCCGGCTCTTAATGATATGCAGGCCCAAGTGCCTCGTCAAGCCACATGCTGCACGCTGTGCGACAGAGCCTACCATGGGTAGCAACCTCCGCAGATAATGTAAGGTTGGGGCACGCTGTATATGCGGACCTTGGCAACAAAAAGTCTTGCTTACAACATCCGAGATTGCGTTGATACTTGAACCGGGATAGGCTCGGGCGTTTCTGCTCGGCAGCAAGCTGAAGGCAATGGCTCCTGGAAAACACGAAGCACAGCTCAACGAGCAGGACGAATTGATTGAGCCATCCGCACTTGGAGGTTCATGGGTACTTATAAGTATGGTTATAAGTCCCCTAATATGGCTTATAACTATAGTTACCCTACTTCTAACCCCATTTTTAACTACCCATGAACCTCCAAGCAGTCTCGACTGAGGTTCTCGCATCTGGCCGTCTCCTCCTTGGCAGCCTTCTCAGAATAGGGTTTAGGGTTTAGGGTTTAGGGTTTAGTGGTTTAGGGTTTAGGGTTTAGGGGTTTAGGGGTTTAGGGGTTTAGGGTTTAGCGCCAGTCACCCGAGCTCTAAAAACCCGCTGGCCATATTCTCCAGGACAGAGCCGTGTTGCAGAAACGCATTTCTTATGTGTCAACTTCTGCAGCACTGCCGCTAGAAAAACAGCACTTCAGGAAATCCTGACCGTCCAATTGCAACGTTCTAAGGTCCTGAGACTGTAGCCAACATGGCCTCTAGAGCCTAGGGTTCATCGACAGCTGACAGCATCAGCCTCCATATTCAAGACAGAGACTGTGGGCTTGTCATTCTTCGGATTCGTTTCAGAACAGACATGTATCTTAAAAACACAGCCGCTCGCCATTGTCTTGTGTGCATAGCGCCTGTCACTTTAACACCGAAGAAAAGCCCAAAGCTGTAGGTCGTCACAGTCTAAGGCTTAGTCTAAGGCCTACCCTGCGCCAAATACGAGTTTGCACCTACAAACAAAAGCTCAACATACGAGAAGCCCTGTATCCCTTGTGGTCACTTGCTCAAGGTGAATCACGCCTTTCACCCTCTGGAACCAGAAGCTCACCACGGGATACTCTTCGCATGGAGACCATCCTTGGAAATCCGCAGCTGGTCTTTTCAGACTGACCACTTTCACTGCAAGGTAGGTGCACGATTCTCAAGCGGACGATGTGAAACCTAATTGCAGACTTGAACATCGATTACCCGAGGCCCAAGCCCATTTTCTACGTATTCCATTGCCCAACAACCGCTCCTGCCACCTCGTGCAGTCAGTCATGGCAACCCCGTTCTCCTCCGTTTGTCAGGAACATGACAAGCATTGCAGCACTCGCCTTGCGCCCGAACCTTGACAGAGCGGGTGTAGTCAGTGCGACCCTACAGCAAAGCCCTGCGACCAGCATCAACGCGGATTGACCTCCTCTTCAAGTCGCTTGTTGCGTGATGCTCATCCAGTATTGGGTTCAGGCAAGGAAGGATAACAAACGGTCTGGGTCGAGTCATTCGGTCAAAAGCAACCAGCACATCTGCAGATTCTCCATTTTGAGTCTTCGTACAGAGGCCATCATGGCAGACTCCTGTGGATCTTGAGCCTCCGGCCCAGCCACCGCTCTCCAGCTCAACCCAGCCTTCCCAATAGCGTCCTTTGCTTGGAGGTTCATGGGTAGTTATAAGTGGGGTTATAAGTAAGGTTGCTATATTAGGGGACTTATAACCCCACTTATAACTACCCATGAACCTCGAATTGCAGCATCCAAAGAATCGGGACCCTCTCTCCCCGCATGAGAGCAAGCCGAGCGGCCTGTAGCACGAACAATCTGGTCAAAGAGCACTTGGCCCACAATTTCCGCAGCAGTGCTGGGGAAGGCCTGGCACGGAGAGCTATGGCTCTCGGGCAGGTTCCTGGTAAGAAGCGAAAGCACACTGGCCATGGGGAACGGCACTTATCACCGTCCCTGTAACATTAACTACTAAGCCCTAGCTCACAGCTTCACAGGCACTCCGAGCTATGGGTTTGGTTTTGGGGCTTCGGGCGGGTTCATAGGATTCAGGGCAGTCAGCCAGAAGTCTAGCTGCCCACGATCTAGCAAGGTGTCGTGGATAAGGCAAGCCACAAGAACACAGCAATCATACTGCGTTCAGACTTCAGAAATTTGTCGGACTGTCGAACCCAAGAAGACAGAAGCACCATCGCACCTTTTAGTCACTTTCGAAATTCGAGATATCTGCGCCGGGTGCATCTTGTAAAGCCATGTCGAGCCAGAATCCACTGCGACTCACAATCTCAGAGTATGGCGTCGTGGTTTCACTCAACAAATTCTGCACAGGTGGCTGACTCACCGGGAGCCAGTCCAGAAATCTTGAAAGCAAACCCGCGACTCCCTGCGAAGCTAAATACAACAATGAAGCTGGACCTTTAGGTGGCAACTGCAGCAATTTCCACAGGGCCAACCCTTCCGGCTGCCGAGCAGCGGAAAACTCTTCACCTATATCTTTTACAACCGATGCGCCAGCATCGTGTTTTTGGAGTAGTTGATCCAAGAACACAACATCTGCCAGCGCGCTGTTTGCACCTTGCCCAAGCGTGCCTCCTGTTGAGTGTGCCGCATCTCCTAGCAGCATGGCACGGCCATGCTTGTCGTGATATCTGTTGGCACGTATTGTGGTCGCCTTGCTTGGTCTCTGCGCCCTAAGCTGCTCCACAGCTGAAAGCTCTGGAGGACCGAAACTCGGGAAGTCTGCACCGATGCGCTGGCGAATAAGCTCGTCTGAGTTCTCCAGGAAGTCGGGTGCTTCACCAGTCCAAGAAAGAATGGTGCATAAACGGCCATCAACACGGGGAATGGAGAACAGAGTGTACTCCTTGGAACTCATGGCATGCACTGCCATAGGATCCATGGATTTCGGACATGGTCCCACCCACACTTTGAATTGTCCTGGCAGGTCTACAGACTCGGAGCGGAACGCAGATGCGTTGTTCAGGGCGCTTCGAACTAGCGAGTTCACTCCGTCTGCACCGATCAGATCATCATAACCAATCTCTCTTCCCTGCGACGTCTTGCAGGTATGCTCTTTGAGGTCTATCATGTCAAGGGTCTCCCCAAAATGAATGGAGAGCCGCCCTGATGCAGAAGAACCGTGATGCTTCTCCAAGTCATCTAGCAGTGCTGCGCATAAGTCGTTTCTTGCAATGAGCAAGGTTGGCACACTGCCAGGTCTGTTTGCACGAAGCTGCAGCTGTTGGCCTCGAGTCAGGTGACCGGCCCAGGAGAGTTCAAATTCAACATGTCTGAGTGGATTGTGCTTTACGTCTTACTTAAATCCTGCGCCTCCGAAACGAAGGATCGTTTGAGCTGCACTTAGGGTGCAGCAATGCTTGTATTATCTGTCGCGAGAGCTCAGCCAATGAATAATGTGTTACCAAGCCAAGAGGCCTGCGATATGCAAAAGGAACTTATCGCTGAGGACGCCCTGACAGGTCCAGGAAGTGTCTCGCTCTACGTCTCTACGTGTTGTGGGTCCATACAGGTCGCGTGCCTTGCTGGAGACCCGTTCCCAGAGCCCCTCCCAGTGCTGCAGCGCAGTGCGTCCGCGAATGTTGAGCCCTAGCGAGTAGGCGCGAAAGCCGGAAATCTGATCGGTGCGCGGGTCGCCTCCGGCAGCACAGTCGAAAGCAAGCGCCAAGCTACGCTGCACGAGTTCCAGTTTAGTCGATACAGGGAAGATACTCTGCCAGTCTGCTGTGTCCGAGTGCCTCTTTTCTCGAGAATTTCCAGATTCGCTTCTGGACGTCGATCAAGAATACAACGTGCTGCAAGAAGCCCAGCGGGTCCTGCACCGCTGATGACCACCTCGCCCAAGGACCGCAAATCCCGCGCCAATGAGACCGACACTATCCCACTATCCCCTACTGATGCTGTTTTGGGTCGGCCTTACTTGGAGGTTCATGGGTAGCTAGGAATGGGGTTATAAGTAGGGTAACTATAATTATAACCCATATTAGGGGACTTATAACCATACTTATAAGTACCCATGAACCTCCAAGTAGTCTAGGCCACCAGATTCCAGAGACCCGACGCCTCCTGGGCCATTCCTGAGGCCACCCCAGCCACGTCTGCAACGTACCCTGTTCTACAAACTTTAACCCAAGCAGAACACCTACCAAGACTAGTGGTGACCTGGTGCTTGGGGCATGCCGGTGGTAGGATTTCAGGGAGCAGGGAGGTGCTTCTTTAGCTGGCTGTATGGTGCCTAAACCCTAAACCCTAAACCCTAAACCCTAAACCCAACACTTCCTGTCTCTCTCGGAACTTCAACCGCTCGGCCCTCTGACCTTAATCAAAACATCAGCAGTTCCTGGGTGGTTCTCCAAATTAGGGTCCCTTTTAGGGTCCTTTTCATAAGGGTGCCGTACTATATTGCGGACCTAAAAAGGGCCCTAATTTAGAAAACTACCCTCCTGCAAAAATGCCTTCGATGCTCTTCGGCAGATGGAAGGGCAGCGGCTGGGATGCGACAGGGATGTGAAAGCCGGAGCCACGCACCACAGTCCCGCCAGCACCAGGAACTTTGTAATCAAGCTGCGATGACTCAATGCCTCGGAGACTTGTCTGCGCACCTGTCTGAGCGAACTTCCGCCGATTATCTTTGCAAGCTTCAAGGAGGACAGGGGTGCCGAGATGCATGTGGCACGCGCCGTGGCACCGCTTGTGCGACGGACATGGCGACGAACGGTTCCAGACGTGATGCAAGTATCGCCAGTTCCATTATCTTTCTCGCTAGTTTCATTGTCAGGTTTCTGGTTCTTCGGTCCTGTCTTGCGCATTCGGCAGGAAGTGTAAGAATGAGCTAGATCCAGGCGATTGCATGCCACACCACACATCATGCATGGGGAAGGGCTTGCGGGAAGCGACATCGGAGATCGGAAATCCGCTCAAGCCCAAGATTCAGTGCTCTTCCGCTGATCGGCAGGATGCAACTTGCTGTTTTAGCATGTATGCTTATGCCGTAGCTGCGCAATCGCCTGAACACTGACTTCCAGAACACAATTAGTTAGTTATTAGTGGAACTGTGCAGTCACTGGAACTGTTCTTGCTTGTTATTGTTCACTGAAATTAGACGTCAAATGGCAAGTCGTTGTCCGATTGGCTAGTTCGGGCATGCGAACGACCTCTGGCGAGGAAGCCCCGCAATCCTTGAATTCAAGCCTTTACCTGCGGCAACACCTCAAGAACACTCCAGACCCACAGCACACTGAATCGTAATCCGGAGGCGTCCTGCCGTTCCCCCCTTTCGCAGCTAAGACAGGCTGGCGTCGCTGAAAGGAAAAGGCCAGGGTTCCAGGCCACCCTGTGACGGGGGGTAGATGAAGGCATGGGCGGCGTAAGGCATGGAGTCTTATGGGAGTTTCCGAAAATTAGGGGTACCTTATTTTGGTGTCCTTATAATAAGGATCCTATTGTTTGGGGTACTATATTAGGGTCCCGTATTTTCGGAAACCCCCTTATCAGCTCAGAAAGTCTGGAAATGTGCCGCCTGTAGGTGGAGTACACGGGCTCCCTGGGGTAATTTGCTCGCTCCTCCCACCTGGCAAAGCTACGTTCGTTCAGTTAAGTCCAGCTTGGTTGAGTGATGTCGATTGATGGTGATTGTGCAACTGGGCTCCGAACCCGGGGGGGACAGCGTCGCTCATCGCATGGATATGTATCTGTCGGACAGATCGACCCATGCTTGTGCCGTGCTGGATCTCTGCTGCATGAGGCCACAACCCTGGGACTCAGCATCGATCTGAGCTGCAGGAGCGCTTCAGGATCCAAATCTTTTTCTGGTGCCCACGAATGCAACCAAGGATAAGGATGCGACACAAAGATGGACAAGTTCGAGTCCTGAGAGTCGCCAAAAACGTGGCACCGCTCAGCGAACTGCAGGAGTTGGCCGCACAGCTGCCGCGCTTGGCCCCAGGCTATGCAAACCAGGTCCGTGCACTTGCTCAAACACATGGCGTCCACCAATGCATCCTTCAGCGTGACTGCAACCATTGGCATGGTCCAAAATCAAGACATGCGGACGGAAACCTCAGCGTCGATAGCTTCGCAGGGAGATCGGTGGACTTCGTTGTCAATACCGTCTGAACGAACTCCGCCTCGCGAGCGCCTTCGAAAGGGAAATCTTGAAAGATATCCGGCAAGACGTTGAAGCTGAGGACGGCGCTTCACGCCATCGCGACAGCACAACTGTATCTCGAGGCATGTGGAGATGCGTCCAAATCAAGACATGCGCATCACAAGGTACAAAGACTGCTCACACACCTGTGCTTACTGCACAGACCTTGCGCATGCCGAAACAGTTACTAAAGCTGTGCCACTGGCCTGGCTTCCAGGCGGTAATGCCTTCACCAACGGAAGCACCGAACATCCTTGAGCATGCTTTGTGAAGCGGGCGAAGTCTAGCCTTTCGGAAGACTTCAACGGTCTGGACCTCGTCGGTGGCTAGATAGAGCACCTGCTGGGCTTGTACGTGCAGTAGAAACAACTCCATCTTCCAATAGCAGCTCGCAGGAAGCCCACTATCTCCGAAGCTTTTCACCATGCTCTGTCTGTTACCACCTCTTGCATGTACACGATAGGTCGGAGGCACACACACATAAATAACTGTAGCCTGCTGCTGTGTGGCATCGCGTGGGAAAAACGTCTCTACAGTATGCGGCCTGCTGGACACCAGGCCTCAGCACAAGCTCGGGTAGTGGTATGGATCTGAGTGCGATTTTCCTCGAGAAGCTGGCGGAGTCTGCTGCAGAAGGGCCTTCGCCTCATTGAGCATGTAGCGTCAAGGGGGCAAGAGATTGGGCAAACTGAATCTTATGACCTTACACGCGTCCCGGCAGCTGTGGACATCTCCGAAATCATTGTAAGCTGTGGGCGGCTTCAAGGTACTCCTCCGGTGGAGGGTTCCTCTGAGCAAGCTGACATGCCGCCACCTTCATTGCAAGACATCTATATAAGATGTCTTCCAGGCGCCGAGAAATTGGAGAGAGACCGCATGATGCCTCGTTTGTGCCCAACCGTTTGTGAACACCCACCTCTGCACTTCGGAGTGGAAGATGTAAGCACAGGCAGACACGGAACCAGGCGAAGAGATTGAGTTTCCCGCCACACGGGCTCTTTCTGGCCAGGTGTCCGTCACCTGAACCGGTGCTAAATGCCTCAAAACTAAGCCTGCGATCCCAAGCAACTGTCTTGAAGAGATCATACGCAATCTGTCGCAGCTGTGCTGCCTCTCTCACTCTCCGACTGATCAGCGGAGAGATTGTGAGGGCACCCTGCATTGCCCGGTGGTAGCCTGGCACGTGGCGCGGAGCGTGAAGATTGAGTATACAGGGTAGTATACAGCATACATCAACCGCTGCATTCTTCCCGAGCATTGGTAGTAGCAGCTGCCAGAGAGCCTTGACGCAGTGCTTGGAAGTCCTCCACAGCCGCAGAAGTACACGGCACGGAGTTTAGCTGTCAGCCGACTCAAATCGATCCCATTGCAACGTATTCGCATGGGGTCTAGGACCTAAGGACGGGCTTCTGTGGTCCTTGGGAGGAACGCTCCAAATCAAGCCTCGCAGCATGTTCCTGCCACGGCTTGTCAGAGCATGCCTTGAGCGCCCAAGAGAGCTTGACTGCGCAGATACATGGGAGTTTCCGAAAATAGGGGACCCTAAGATAGCACCCTATAAATCTTAAATAGTAGGATCCCTATTACAAGGACCCGCAAATAGGGTACCCTAATATAGTACCCTAAATAATAGGATCCCTATTACAAGGACCCGAAAAATAGGGTGCCCCTTATTTTGGGAAGCTCCCACATGGCCGAGCTCTGGGCATGAAGAGGATGCTCACCCTAGGCAACTTTGGCAGAGACATGGCTCATGAAAAGGCTGCTTGCCGCTCCCACCTCTTGTTCATGTTGTACGACGAAGACTGAAGCCGTCGGTCGGCGGAGTACTGTCAGGGGATTGTTTCGTCAACGAGACAGACTCAGACAGTGTCGCCAGAAATTCATGTATTGACTGCCGAACTTTGTTGGGTTGTGCGAAAGGGCCCTTCGGTGCTTCGATGCGCTTCGTGTCCTTGCCCCAGGACCGACAGCGCTGAGTTCTTGAGAAGAGGTGCTCGAAGAGATCGAAACCGATGGGGCCATACCTTCCAATCAACGCTGGCACGATTTTTGCCCATGATACACGAGTTGCGTGACCAGCAACGAGAAGCCCCGTCCCACTCCCGTTTCAGGTGCGCACTGAAAATGACCTTCGCCTCCCTTCCGCTGCCAATCCTTGAAACCGCCGGGTCGTCTGTAACCACAGTCTGGTGAAGATTATTTCCTGGGCTGCAGGCTACGAGCACAGGGGCGCCGGGCTTTGCCAGCAAGAGTGCCTCAGGTAGAAAGAAGCAGACCTGCGTAAGAAGCCAATTCATCCGAATTTCGATCCATTACAAGCGGGTGGGGCAAGAATCGTCGGAACGCTCGCTTGGCAATACCTGTCGCTTCCTGGCACTCGCCCGATCCCTGCAAGACTGTCCGTAGAAGCAAGACTCCGGTCTTCAGCTCCAGTATTGCTCCCTTGTCTCAAAATATGGGGAAGCATGTCTGAGTTGCAGCTGCCTCCCTCTTCGTCACCTCTCCATGCCACTCTGGACACTAGGTTCGTGAACAAGGGTGGGTATGATGTGTTCTAATCATGCTTTCGGCTGCCGGCCACCCCTGTTTTCCGCTGTTGAAACTGTGCTTCTCTATCAGCTCCTGTACTGCTGCAGGCCGCTTTCCATCCTGACGGTATTGTAGACACGAGTTCTCTTTCCACTTGGATCTGGGTCTTCTCTGCCTTACTTCGTCTCAGAGGTGGGCTCAAGTCTTTTCCGTCCCGAAGAGTCGCTGAGCCTCCCGCATCTAGGAGTTGCAAAATGTTGGCGAAGAGGCCTGCAACCAAAACGCAGCAGTAAGCAGGTGCAAGTCCACACCGAGGGCTGAGGTTTCGGCCGTTGTCATGATATGTGACAAGAACTGCACTGTAATCGCCCTGCCGAGCGCTAGAGCGAGAGGCATGGAGAATTCGAGGCCAGCTCACTCTCGATGCAAGCGATCCAGCCTCGAAGCGAGGGTCACAGAGCTCCGTGAGCCTCATTCGGCACATGAACATGTTCATCAGGAATCTGCACAGCCCATCCTATCTCCGTGCCTGGGCAAGGTGACGCTCAGGAATGCCTCAGCAACGGCCCCTCGTCCGCTAGGGAAGCCGTGCGTGTTTGGAATCTTTTGAAATTTTGCCGGGCAAACTACCTTGGAAGCAGTATCGCCCAGCAGCGGCTGCTCTGAATTGGCACCGGTAGCCAAACCATGCCAACCTGCTACATGCGAACCCTTCTAAGCAAGAAGTTGTGTGCATCTGGAACAAAGCTCCAGGGATCTTGCATGCTTGCAGGACAGGCGCCTCGAACAGGCCAAGCATCCGAAGATAACACAACAACTCCGCAGGGCCGAGCCTCTCGGCTTTCAGCCGTCACATTGTAGAGGTAGGTAAAGTACAGCTCTTCCGCGTGTTCCGCCTGCTTCTTTCTGGGATGTGGCCCCTTCTCGCGGGGTGGTGGGGTGATGCTTAGTCCGGTGCCGCCGACTCGTTGCCTTCGTAAACCACCTGGGAAGTTGAACAAGTTAGGGTTTACGGCCTTTATAGGTTCTTTTTGCCTATAGAGTTTAGGGTTTAGGGTTTACGGCCTTTATAGGGTTTAGGGTTTTCATCTTCAGAAGTGCCCCGTGATGCCCCGTGTAAATCAATCGTGCTGCCTCCCAGTACGGAGCCACGTAGTCCAGCACTGCCTGCAACTCAAGCCGTACACTGGGGCACTGTCTGTGGGAAAGGCCGCTGGGCTTCTGCGACCAGGAGCTTGTTCAGAGGCTCTCCGAAAGACTTGGGAGTTTCAGAAAATTAGGGGTACCGTATTTTGGGGTCCTTATAATAGGGATCCTATTATTTAGGGTAGTATATTAGAGTCCCTAATTTCGGAAATCCCCACTTTGCACTCCGCTCCTGTAGCCCCAGCGGCTCCGACGAAGTAGAGATGTCCCAGGCCTTGACGCAAGCGAGACAGCAACACGGCACGTCGCTGAGATGTTTGTGAAGCATGAAAGACAGTTTGAATCCCTATGCCGCAGCTGCAGTCTGCTCCCACTGAAAACAAGCTCAGCATTCTGAGCATCTTATGCTTTGAGCATGTCTGTAACCCAATGTTGAATTTGAGCTGCTGAGAGAACTAGATGTGCTATGCACGCAGTCAGCGTCATTCGCGGAACAGCGAACAGCTGTGCCCTCGGCCTCTGTGGTCAGGGGCTCGTCTGGCTCTGCATCAGTGCTGAGGAGCTCACTGGCCTCTAAGTATCCATCCATAGAGTGCGCACAAACAAGATGCTCGCGAATCCACCATGCCGCAGTCGGACTGCAGCCCAACTTCCTATGCAAGTCTCATCGCACTACACAAGCAGGGAGACTGACCGGTCGCCAGTCGACGGGCTGTGACTTCCATGCCTGGCAACAAGACTACAACTCTGAAAAGATTTCAAACGCTGCCATGATCAGTCCTTCAGATTTCGATTCCGACAGATGTAATGTAAAAGAAGTAACGGGGCTTATCATAGACGAGGCTGCCGTGGCCTTCGCGGCTTGGGCCCAAGAGAACTGGCCATTTGGCATGTCGAGGCCTGAAGCCCAGCACATTACTTGGAGGTTCATGGGTACTTATAGGTATGGTTATAAGTCCCCGAATATGGGTTATAATTATAGTTACCCTACTTATAACCCCATTTATAACTACCCATGAACCTCCAAGTAGTCAAGCAGATCAATGTTCAAGAACGATGAAGCGGGACCAGCGAATAGCTGAACACTAGGCTTGGCACCAGGCAACGCCAGTTGCTTTGCTAAAGCATCTTGGAGCCATGCAAAAACCCCGTCTGTACCCTAGAGTCTTACCTGTTGGCTTGCAGTTCCATACGTGTTCCAGTCTTCGTTGCGGAATCGCAGGCTTCAGTGGGGTGTAGACAACAAGTGTTCGCATGAGCAAATAAAGTAAAGCTGCACCGATCTATTTATGAGTCCTGGGATTGCCATCGACCATGGAGGATTACACTGCCTTACACTTGCTAGTCAGTGCTAGTCAAATCTGCAACTTGGGTTTGGAGCACGGGTTGACCGACAGCCAGTGCCCAAGTGAAGCCGACAACATGTTCATGCAAATGGGACCGCAGCTGCAGCGACCTGTAGCGACAACCGAAGTCTGATTGCAGGTCACCGGGACTGCCACGAAAAATGGTATAGCTGCGGTCATCTGGAACTGACAATCATCGCTACAACGGGACACTGCCAAGACCAGCGCCGCGGGCTCGAAAATTTGGCTTCAAATCTCATCGGCAGCAGCAGTAGGCTCTGACGTAGCATGTTGCTACTCGGGTCCTGCTGCTCCTCCGGAAGTAAAGAGCCCCTGGCATGGTCTCCGCGTGGCCATGCTGATACGCGTCACAACAGAACATGCGATGCATTGATAACAAGGATAAACACATCATCGTGCAGCGAGAACAAGATCAAAGCAGGAGCAGCTCAGTGCTCCGGAAAGGCAGTGAGGGCACGGGATGAGATGCCGGAAGCTTTAGATCATCGCTTTGCGATGGCAAGGCCGGCACCTTTCAACTGAAGAATTCACGCAGTAGCTGCTTCTCGTTCGGCTGCTCGCTTTGCCAACCGCTCCTGCTTCCTCAGTGCCAGAGCGCACACTCAGAGCAGACTTTGCCCTCTTCCAAACAGCTGCGTTGCTCTTTCTCACGCTTCTGCTTCTTGAACTTTGCCCACCTCTGTGACTCCTCGGCGCAAGGCTGACATGTCTCTGCTTTAAGACCCTCCGAGAGCCGGGGTCAGCACGCGCCAGTTCAAGAGCCACAGGGGGACCACATTATTCCTGAGCCAAGTGGGAGACAGACTGAAAAATCTCCCAAAGCATGACAACGCATGCTCTGCTAGGCTGCTTGTAGATGGGTAGTTGTCAAAATTATGGTCCCTTTTGGGGTACCCTAAATAATAGGTGCCGTATTATAATAAGGACCCAAAAAGGGACCCTAATTTTGACAACCACCCATATGGCTACAACGGTTTTGGTCTGCAGCTGAGGTGCCATTTCTCAGGGATTCTGCGTGGGTTTTTTGGCGGTGGTCGCTTGCGGCTGATGGCACTGCATGCTCTGTAGACTGTCCCAAACCTCGGCCGACACGTGCTTACGAAGTCGACTCAGTGAAAACAAGACGGATGGCTGCAGCTACACGTACAGTTTTCAATTAGCAGGCCGACCTCTTGGATAAAACATACAAGTTCATGTAGCTTGACGGGTGCTGTTTAAAGGAAGCCGAGGTGCATCGGATCCGTGTGCCAACCTCTGCGGGACAGGCGCTAAAGGAGCCAGGCCGGGAGGATCAAGCACTGCTTTGCATCAACATTATGATGTTTCTGCGTCCGCGGTTCCGCAGACATGAAAGTGCCGGCGAGACGCAGGCATGGCACCACCCTTCTTTGCAGGAAAAGGAGACATCCTGCCGAGCAGCATCAGCCAGCTGACTCTAAGATTGGCCCTGGACAGCGTCAGATGGAGACAGGTACGTCCTCGACACCCACCTCAGCGGCCTTCAAGATCTCAATGCCTCATAGAACTTTTACCCCGAGCTGCGGAGGAATTTCGGAATATGCAACTGGCCTAAGGCACGGACCTCGCTTCATGGTGGCGACTTTACCACTCGGCAGAAACACAACCTTCACCTGCTTGCTCAAAAGTCGACACATGCACCCATGGAAGCCTCTAGAAACAGCTTGGGCAACTAACCCTGACTCAGACTGCTGAAAGGCTTCGATGCGGGACTTGCCGGCTAGCTGTGCCACTGCACTGCGCAACAATGCTGCGACTGTTTGGTTAACCGATGCTGCCAGATCGGCCAAGGTGCTGGACCTTAGCGAAAGGGCACGGTATTCATTCGATTGTCGTGACGGAGACATACTTCTGGCAGGTCTTCATGTTATGTGGCCATAATTGCATTCCAGCAACCTGCCATGTAATGCCGACCTTGGCCAGTAAGGACTGTGAAAGCCGTAAACGGCACAATGCATCGCAGGTTCTGCCGAAGCTAGGCCGTCTACAAAGAGTCAGCGTGACACTGTCACCTTGCACCAGCCACCGAATAAGGCACTTTCGCAAAACGTGGCGCTCAAAACAGTTGAATGCAACTGGCCTTTTCTCGCATGCCTCTGGCCCGTGTTGGGCCAGTCAAGCTCAAAGCAAACGTTGTTCATTCACCCTACTTAGTCTGTCCACGATCGGATGGCCGCTGCAAGGATGTCTTGAAGCACCGCTGTCTAACTATTCCATGATTCCCTCTGGAAGGCAGATAGATAGAACCGCCAAGTGGTGTCGCCGGATCAAGTCAGGAAACGAGATGAAGTTTGGTCCTTCCAGGTTTAAAATGGTTGTCATCATTTGTACACAACAGGTGTGTGTGTGTGTGTGTCTCTCCAAGCTGTCCTCGTCTCAACAAGATGCGGAGAGCTCAGCACTTGCAGGTCTTCAACACCTGTGCCCGAAGAACCCTTCCTTACGCTCATCTCTCTTTTCCATCTCTTCTTCTGCGGCGTAGCTACACACTTCTTGATTTCCCCTCAGTCTCAAAATCAGCAACCTGGAGCTAAGGAGAATTACAGTATACGACTGCAGCGGGCGTTCACCAAACAGTAGTGCTAACCTTATAAGGAAACCTGGCTGCAACCTGCAAATACAAGAACAAGCATATTCCAAGGGCTGCAGCTTAGGATCTTGCGCAATCTTGAAAGCCGGGCCGCGCCTATCACAACACTGCCAGTCTCTTTGTCAATTTGATTTGAAAGCACCTGGCTGCACAAGCAATCGCAAGCTTCAGGATTTTTTTGCGGGGGCTCTACAAGCCTGCAAGGACGGATGCAATCATATCGGGTTGATGTGTGCATTCCCGCGGCTATGCAGAACATGAATCATCAACCGGACAATCGGATAGCCACTGCAAACAAGTGACGCACATTTCGGAAACACCGATGTTGGTTAAAGACTCTGCTTCCACAGGACCGTGCCGCTGTCGCCCAACGAACAAGGTGCGTCTCACCTGGCAGCCCATACATCTCGACTTGCACTGTATCCGTACTCATCTGCACGTTTGGGGCCTTCGTGTCCTGTGGCAAATGGAAGTAGACAGAACAGTAACCTTCCTGAGCAAGATCTACTTGCATCCAGCAGCTGCCGGGAGTCTAGCCTACATGCATCCAAGAAGCTTCGCAAAAATCATCTCCTGGAACCATTGAGATGCAAAAAATGCTACTTGTGGCATGCCGCGGCATGGGCCTCGAGGGTAGAAGTGGAAGCAGAAACCTCCGAGACCACAAGCTGAAAACTCCGGCGACGCGAGATATTCGCCCTGGCAGGAACCAGGCATTTTCTGGCTCGCACAGCCGACGCTTGGAGGTTCATGGGTAGTATTGGGTAGTTATAAGTAGGCATATAAGTAGGGTAACTATAGACTATAGTTATAAGCCAAATTATAGGGGACTTATAACTCCATTTAGAACTACCCATGAACCTTCAAGCAAGCCATGCCTTCTGGAAGCGCGAGCGTACATCTTCGGCATTTTCGATCCTGCGTGAAGCCATGCGCCTGGAACCTGTGGCTACATGCAATCAGCCGTGCAAGCGCTGCCTCCAGTGAACAATCTCAACATTCCTGTTCTCGATCACCTTCACAGACCACGCGGCCGGGTATAGCTGGTGGCAGGTCACAGACGGTCAGCATGTTCGGGGGCGGTCAGAATCGCTGCTTCAAAAAACTTCATCCCTTTCTGGCATATTCTGCCATCCGAGGATCTGCTTGCACTTTGTTTCCGAGACCTTTAAGTTTGAGCCTTGGTGCGAACGACCCTGGGGAGATTGCGAACCTCAAAGAGATAGTGATGCCCGAGGACTGCGCATTCGCTTGTCTGCGATTACGCCTGGTGCACAGCTTGTACGATTTTGTAATGCCATGTCGAACAATGCTGTTGCCATGGAGGCTTGCTACCGAGAGTTTTCACGCGATTTCGTGGTTCCGATACCTCCTGTCAAACGTCTTGCGGATCCCATGACTTCTACTTCAGCCATCCATGGTTGCAAGGTAACTGATATGCTTCATCATGCTGCTGTAGATCTCGGCCCGATGCAACCTACGTTGTTGATAGATGCTGACAATATCGTCGTTCTTCCTGGTTCTGTCGCAAGAAAGAACTAAAAACGAACCCCAAACCATGCCTGCCCAATTCGAAGTTCCGGGACGGCATGTCTCATGTCGCCAAAGCAGGGTGCCCACATGCCTGGATTCGTCTCTCCAGCTGTAGCAAGTACTCCTGTGATGACAATCTGAAACCGCGCAAGCGAAATGCAATGGCTGACACACTCTCTCTTTTGCTTGCTAACACTCGGTAGCGTAAAAGCTCAAGGGCCCTAACACGAAAGAGCCAACGGCCGCAGGTCAGGACAGCTCACTTGCAGTAGCCGCCAGCATGCTGATTCACAGCACCCTGAAAATTATGCTGACCTGCGGGAGTAAAACTAGCGAGGTTTAACTCGCCCTTCCTGCCGACGCACGAGTCGGTCTTCTAGAAGCTCAGATTCCGCCTCTAGGCGAAAAGTACCGGTGGCCAACAACTCGAACAGCGCGTCCTTGTTTGCACTCACCTTGGTAAGACTGTCGACCACCATGCTTTGGTGCTCCACCCAGCGTAGCTGAACACCCAGACCATCGATCTTCTCCCGAGCTATGGCCACGTCCAGCGCCGTGAACTTGTCCTGCGGCTGGTTCCCCTCGCGCATGAGGTTGTCGTAAAGGCTTTTTGCGTCGATCACGGACAGGGAGTCACGAAGAACTTGATCTCCATCAGCCTTTTGCAAAACCACGTCTGCTCGGGACTTCACGTTCTTCTTAAAGGTCTCGAGGTCGAACTTTGGGTCGAGCAGCTCCGCGTAGATGGCCTTGGCCCACAGAAGATCTCCAAGGCCCTTGTTCAAAGCTTGAGCTTCGGCTGCCAAGGTGGATCCTACCTTGCGGCGAAGCTTTCCGGACTTCCACCAGATCAGGCTGCACAAGGCCCTCTCACCAGACAAGAGCTTCTTGTCAAAGGCTATCACGGCAGCAGCCCCTTGTGAGCTTCCATCGGAATGATTAGCCCAGCTGGCATCCGTTATTGTGCCCCATCCCAAGCTCTCAGGAGCTATTGGGAAGTACTTCAGCTCAAGCTTGCTGTGCATCTTCACGGACTCCACGGCCTTGTTCAGCTCGACAATGTCACGCACTTTTGCCGAGGGCAATCGACTCGCCATCATGGACGCAGCGGCTGCTGCATCTGGTCGCGCTTCCTTCGCGGCCCAGGCCAGAGCACCTATGACCGCGCGGGCCTTCTGCTTTTCTTCTGCAGTAGTTTCGGAGTCCGGGTTGCTTCTGCGACCTTTTTCGAGCTTCACTGGGAACAGCCTCTCCTGGACATACTTCTCCATATCGACCAACACCTGGAAATCTGTGGTTTGTCGGATTCGTCTCCCGTTAAAGGTCGTTCCGTCCGGGAGTTCCTGCAACCGTTTAAATTTCCCAAACTTGAACTTCTGACGCAACCTGGTGAGGGCGGCATCGTGGATGCTGTAGCCAAAGGCCAAGACGTCGTCAATCTCTATGACGATCACCCCCTCCAGCTCGCCATTGTGGTTGAGCAAGAAGATGGTCGGATCAAGCTTGCTCTGCCGGTAATGCAGCTCCTCGATGATGTACTGCTTCAGGGTCTGCCGCCAGTGGACAGGACCGTCCACGAGTCCATAGACTCCGCAGACTATCTCCACCAGCTGCTCAGCAAGCAGCCCTGGCAATCCGGACTTAGGCTGCCGGACATACAACTTGCCACCAGCTCGAAACAGAGGAGCGGACTGCATGAAAGCTGCTTGCAGGTCTCCGCACGAGCCGGGCATCTTTCGGGAAGCTGCGCACTGCAACACCACTTGCAAGTTTTGGGTAGTAACTGTCGGGCTGTAGGTGTTGAGCTCCACGGCATCCGGATCTTGGTCTCCCCGGACGCACCACCTTGATTTCATGGTGGCCTTTTCCCCCACTTGTTCTCCAGGTTTAAGCCGCCGGACATAGCGGCTGTCGATGATGCGGTTCAGCTTCCCCTCTAACGTGAGGGACTCCACGACTTTGCGGCTCTCTTCCACTGAAAGCACGCGAACCGCACCTGAGGCCTCGATCTTGGACCACTCTTTGGCGTCTTCAACTCGCCACTCCGGCCAGTCCTCCGGTCTGATGTCCTTCTCGGCGATCTCGTCGGTGTTCTTCTTGACCGCAAAGGTGGCCGACTCGGTGTGGAACACATACTCCTGAACGTCTTCGGGCTGTGCGTACCTCCGCGGGTGGTCCTGCACCTCCTTGCACGCGACCTTGGTCAAGTAGAAGTCGGTGTAGCCCTTCCACTTGCCGCTGCTTCTTTTGCTCGGCTTGAGCTCCTTCCAGTCGTCGCTGTTGTTGTCTGCGACTCCCGTCTTAAACACTCTCACCGTCTTCCTCTCGGAGCTAAGGAACCCAAGAGGTACGGGAACTCGAGGTGCTTCTTAAGGAGAAAACTGGCACGACCTCCACTTGACATGGTGCCTCCTCACCACGCCCTGGTCGACAAGCAGCTGCCAGCGATCTCGGTGAGGTGCTGGCTCGGGCTTCTTGTTCTTCGTCTCTGGCTGTAGCTTTTCCTCCTCGAACCAGTCGTCCGCTGAGAGCTCCGCAAGGTAAGGTGCCGAAGGTGCCGTCCTCGCTGAGGTTGAAGGTCGAACGGCTCCATACGGAATCCCGTCCAGCTGCCGGCTCCTTTGGATCGCCTCTTGGCCGGCGTTCACCTGGGACTCCAGGTCGGGCTCCTGACTGGCTGCCTGTTCCACTTCTGGCTCTTCTGCTGTGGCCTGTGAAGAGTGCCTTGGCAGTTCTTCTGCGGGAGCTGGAAGAGGGACTTCAGGAACAGGAGGTTCGGG